GGGGCTGCAGTGTCAGTGTGTCAGTTCAGCTGACAGTCGGAGCACCAGCAGCTGGACACAGCTGACACTGTATATATAGACCACTGTCACTCCGACACTGACACGGACTGGGACGGCACGACGGTGTGACGTCACACTGGCCTCCAACACGGCCTCCAACAGCTGCACCCGGCTGTGGGCACGGACACACCGGCTGCAGCCAGTAACGCTCGCCGCTGTGCTGGAGCCGCCCGCTGGCCACAGCAGCGACGGGGGCTGACAATCGTCCCGCACGGCAACGGAAAGGCCACACGACGGCAACGGGGGTGACTGCTGTGGTGGGATTTTCCGATAAATACGGGAATGGTTGTGAGCTCGGTGTTATTTTGTGTGTATTTGACGACGGGTGACCGGTTGATTTTGTGAGTGGGTTGATGGACATGCGAGGGTAATTAGTTGATTTTGTGAGTGCGTTGATGGACAGTCGAGGGTCATTAGTTGGTTTAGTGAGTGTGTTCATGGACAGGCGAGGGTGATAAGTTGATTTAGTGAGTGTGTTGATGGACAGGCGAGGGCACGTGGTTGACAGCGAGACAAGCCGGCTGCTGGATGTGCTGTGACAGTGTGTCGGTGCTTGTTGTCGGTGTCTGGTGGACTCTGCCCAGTCGGAGGGGCGGGCGGTACGTCCGGTCCGCACCTCTGTCCAGTCGGAGGGGCGGGCGGTACGTCCGGTCCGCACCTCTGTCCAGTCGGAGGGGCGGGCGGTACGTCCGGTCCGCACCTCTGCCCAGTCGGAGGGGCGGGCGGTACGTCCGGTCCGCACCTCTGCCCAGTCGGAGGGGCGGGCGGTACGTCCGGTCCGCACCTCTGTCCAGTCGGAGGGGCGGGCGGTACGTCCGGTCCGCACCTCTGTCCAGTCGGAGGGGCGGGCGGTACGTCCGGTCCGCACCTCTGCCCAGTCGGAGGGGCGGGCGGTACGTCCGGTCCGCACCTCTGACCAGTCGGAGGGGCGGGCGGTACGTCCGGTCCGCACCTCTGACCAGTCGGAAGGGCGGGCGGTACGTACGTCCGGTCCGCACCTCTGCCCAGTCGGAGGGGCGGGCGGTACGTCCGGTCCGCACCTCTGCCCAGTCGGAGGGGCGGGCGGTACGTCCGGTCCGCACCTCTGTCCAGTCGGAGGGGCGGGCGGTACGTCCGGTCCGCACCTCTGTCCAGTCGGAGGGGCGGGCGGTACGTCCGGTCCGCACCTCTGCCCAGTCGGAGGGGCGGGCGGTACGTCCGGTCCGCACCTCTGACCAGTCGGAGGGGCGGGCGGTACGTCCGGTCCGCACCTCTGACCAGTCGGAGGGGCGGGCGGTACGTACGTCCGGTCCGCACCTCTGCCCAGTCGGAGGGGCGGGCGGTACGTCCGGTCCGCACCTCTGCCCAGTCGGAGGGGCGGGCGGTACGTCCGGTCCGCACCTCTGCCCAGTCGGAGGAGCGGGCGGTACGTCCGGTCCGCACCTCTGCCCAGTCGGAGGGGCGGGCGGTACGTCCGGTCCGCACCTCTGCCCAGTCGGAGGGGCGGGCGGTACGTCCGGTCCGCACCTCTGCCCAGTCGGAGGGGCGGGCGGTACGTCCGGTCCGCACCTCTGCCCAGTGGCCACTGCAGTGTCCGTGTACGGCCCCAGAACACGCCACGGGTGTCTCCCGAGCCGTGTGTGTCTCCGAGTCGGTAGTGTGTCCAGCCGGTGTTGGACAAGTGCCGCTGGCCGGCCGTGGCGGCTGGAATGGAGGGCCGGGCACGGGCCGGCCGGCTCATCCGCCGGCGGTGGGAGGCCCGGTGTCAGCTGTGGGTCACAGACCAGCACCGAACACTGCAGTTGTGAGGGGGACGGGTGCAGGCCATACAACACACACAGAACTGCGACAGGGAACTACTTACATGACACCAGTCAGAGTGGCCAAAACACATGTGCAATGTGCAGGAATCTCAGGAAAGGTATATGTGTGGTCTGATCCCACGTAGTTATCCTGATCTTGGATCCGATGGGATCCTGGATCCAGCCAAATGGCTCGAGACGGCAGCTGATTTACCAGAGGCGGCTCTCAGACCTGATCCCAAATGACGGCGGGTAAAACGGTGTGTCGTATACAGGTTATCGTCCGCCCGGCACCGGGGAAGGCGGTGAAATACGGCGAGTGGCGATCCAGCCAGTCAGTGTGTGGCCGCCGGTTAACGGTGAACTGCCACGCTGGGCCCGTATTATAGATATATACGACACCTGTTGATGATGTGCACGGAACAAAAGGACCAGGCCTCGACGGCCGACGGTGTGCTCTGGAGCCGGGACCGCAGCTCGGCAGGTCACAGCAGCGGCGGCACAGCGGCGCAGAAACACCCCCCCCCCCCCCCTGGTGGAGCCAAACTGTACTCAGGTCACCAGGACATTAGCACAAATGATGAGGTAAGCTCCGAAGGTAGCTGTTTTCCAGGACAAAGACCGGACGTGTGTAAAATGTATTAGTCAAAGCGCAGCCGATTATCAGTAGCATGGCCAAGTGATAACTAAAATCTAAAAAGCCGTTCCGGAGTCGGAGTCAAGGCAGCTTGATCGACACGGACTCCGACTCCGACTCCCAATCGGTCGGTAGCCCAATTACCCCCCTGTACGAAGCAGAGGACACAAAACATGGCGGCGCGCTCCCGGGCCGTGACGGCGTGCTTCCGTGAACCGAGTCGGACAGACGCGAGGACACTCGTTATGACCGGTGCCGTCAGAGCTCTACACAATTCAGTAGCATCCAGCTGACTATATCCGACCGTTGGATAGCCGACTATATCGTATCCAGGGTTACATTATCCACATTACCCGACCGGTAATTACCCACTACGTCGCATCACTTCATCGAATTGCCCACAATACTCGCCCGGTAACTAATTGCCCCAGGCTACAGATAGCACAGCTGAAGCGTCTCCTCTCGTGTATATAGTAGACATCGTGTTTGACGTCTCGAGTCTCGGCGTGTGCCGCGCTCCGCCGGTGGAGAGCGGGGCAGCTGACAGACCAATCAGCTGACGGACCAATCAGCTGTCTAACCAATCAGCTGACGGACCAATCAGCTGACGGACCAATCAGCTGACGGACCAACCAACTGACTGACCAATCAGCTGACGGACCAATCAGCTGCCTGACCAATCAGCTGACGGACCAATCAGCTGCCTGACCAATCAGCTGACTATTCAACCAGCTGACTATTCAACCAGCTGACGGACCAATCAGCTGACGGACCAATCAGATGACGGACCAATCAGCTGACTGACCACAGCTGACGGACCAATCAGCTGACTGACCGATGAGCTGACGGACTAACCAGCTGACTGACCAATTAGCTGACGGACCAATGGCCAGCTGACGGACCAATGGCCAGCTGACGGACCAATCAGATGACGGACCAATCAGCCGACTGACCAATCAGCTGACGGACCAATCAGCTGACTGACCAACCAGCTGACGGACCAACCAACTGACGGACCAACCAACTGACGGACCAACCAACTGACTGACCAATCAGCTGACTGACCAATCAGCTGACTGACCAATCAGCTGACGGACCAATCAGCTGACGGACCAATCAGCTGCCTGACCAATCAGCTGACTATTCAATCAGCTGACGGATCAATCAGCTGACGGACTAATCAGCCGACTGACCAATGGTCAGCTGACTGGCCAATGGTCAGCTGACTGACCAATGGTCAGCTGACGGACCAACCAGCTGACGGACCAACCAGCTGACTGACCAATCAGCTGACTGACCAATGGTCAGCTGACTGACCAATGGTCAGCTGACGGACCAATGGTCAGCTGACGGACCAATCAGCTGACGGACCAATGGTCAGCTGACTGACCAATGGTCAGCTGACTGACCAATCAGCTGACGGACCAGTGATCAGCTGACGGACCAATGGTCAGCTGACGGACCGGTCCCCGCCCCGGGCCGGGTGACGGCCGCCGGCCGGGACCGGAGCGGGCGGGCGCGGCGCGGCCGGCCGCCGTCTGAACTGGCACCGCGTGGATACTGCCAGCTCGGACGGCAGCTAGCCAGTAGTCGAGTAGAGCTGTCCGTGTGGGACGTGTCACAACACGCTCAGCACGGCGCTCAGCACCGCCGAGCCGAGGTGCAGCCAGACCCGGGGGACGGTCACGTGACCGAGCCGTCCGACTCCACCGGGGGGACGGTCACGTGACCGAGGCCGGCCGTGCCGCCGGGACCAGGCGCGGTGAACCGAGTCGGACGGTCAGAGACGTGTGTTCTACATACAGAATAGCGTAATGCCACGATCGGTAGTCTCTCCAGCACATCACTTGTCACTGTCCAATTACCCACAGTACCCGCCCGGTAATTACCCATTACATCACTTCTCACTGTCAAATTATCCACAATACCCGCCCGGTAATTACCCACTGCATCACATCTTCCGTCCAATTACCCACAATACACGCCCGGTAATTACCCACTACATCACATCCGTGTGCTACTACTACATCTACACTACTACTACTACAACTACATGACTACACTAGAGCGGACACCGGGGCCGTGTGCCGGCTGACCGGCGCCGCTCTCAGTGCCGGCTGGTGCAGCACACACGGCAGCAGTCAGCTGGCGGCCCCGGCCGACTGGCTCGGCCTCTCTGCAGTCAGCTCATCACTGCACGGTCGGTAGTGCAGCGCATCAATACTACCACCCCAACACTATGACCCCATGGCCTTGCTGGCTCTTCAGCTGACGGTACAGCTCCCCTGTGGACAGAGCAGAGACACGTCTGAGGTGGACACTTCACACACAGACAGACACACAGACAGCGGTACAGCCATGTCCACACACCGCCGGACAGTGACGTCACACACAGGACAGACGGCTAACGTGACGTCACCGTCGGCCGTGGTGGCCGTGACGCGTCACGTCACCGTCCGTGACGTGGCCTGCGGCGGTGGTCGAGTGTGTGTGTCTGAGAGGCCGGTGGCGCCGTGCAGCGTCTGTTGTGAGGGACTGACTGGTCAGAGGCGCGGCGCGCGGCGCCCTCTCACCTACCGGGGACACCGAGATAGATGGTACCGAAGAAGCCCCGGCGCAGGTCCGCCTCCTTCAGGGCGGTCAGCACGGCCCGGCCGGTGTCTGCCGTGCAGTGAAGGTACAGCTCACGCAGCTGCCGACACGACTTCACCAGTCTGTAACAGAGCAGAGCAGCAGAGCCGTCACACACAAACACAGCGGCACCAGCCGGCCGGACGTACGAGTCAGTGTCAGTGTCAGTATTTCAGTGTCGGTGTGTTGGTGTCAGTGACAATGCGTTAGTGTCAGTGTGTCAGTGTCAGTGTGTCAGTGTCAGTGTGTCAGTGTCAGTGTCAGTGTGTCAGTGTCAGTGTGTCAGTGCCAGTGTGTCAGTGTCAGTGTGTCAGTGTCAGTGTGTCAGTGTCAGTGTGTCAGTGTCAGTGTGTCAGTGCCAGTGTGTCAGTGTCAGTGTGTCAGTGTCAGTGTGTCAGTGTCAGTGTGTCAGTGTCAGTGTGTCAGTGTCAGTGTGTCAGTGTCAGTGTGTCAGTGTCAGTGTGCCAGTGTCAGTGTGTTAGTGTCAGTGTGTCAATGTCAGTGTGTTAGTGTCAGTGTCAGTATGTCAGTGTGTCAGTGTCAGTGTGTCAGTGTCAGTGTGTCAGTGTCAGTGTGTTAGTGTCAGTGTGTCAATGTCAGTGTGTTAGTGTCAGTGTCAGTATGTCAGTGTGTCAGTGTCAGTGTGTCAGTGTCAGTGTGTCAGTGTCAGTGTGTCAGTGTCAGTGTGTCAGTGTCAGTGTGTCAGTGTCAGTGTGTCAGTGTCAGTGTCGGTGTGTCAGTGTCAGTGTCTGACAGGACAGCCCTCGCCAGTGTCTGCTGACTGACCTGGTGTACGCTGCTGCTGTGAAGGCCGTCTCTGCCGGCCGCTGGCGGTCCCCCAGTGTAAGGACCACCAGCCCGGGGCAGCCGCTGAGACTGTCCAGCACGGCGTCAGGGACGCCGCCGGACAGGGTGAGACGCTCGAGCCGAGGGCACCTGGTGAGGGGCTCCAGGCTCACGGTGTCAGGGACGCCGCCGGACAGGGTGAGAAACCACAGCTCACGGCACCTGGTGAGGGGCTCCAGACTCACGGCGTCAGGGACGCCGCCGGACAGGGTGAGATCGGACAGCCTAGGGCACCTGGTGAGGGGCTCCAGGCTAACGGTGTCAGGGACGCAGCCGGACAGGGTGAGAAACCGCAGCTCAGGGCACCTGGTGAGGGGCTCCAGGCTGCCGGTCGTGAGATCAGTACAATCTGGAAAACACACAGACACACATACAGACACGATCAGTTAGCTGTAATACATGGCGATATATGGAAAAAACGAAACAGCTATGAATTCGCATGGTTTTATGGACATAGAAGATGATATAACAGTGGTTCTATATGATATGCCATATAAACATGAATGAATGTGATAACATGAATGAATGAACATGATAACATGAATGTTGATGTTATCTATGGATATGCAATCAGTTCAGCCAATGCATTGAAGTGCACCAAACATTGCATTTTAATCGCAATATGTAGGTATGTTCAACTGACTATGATCGAATATGTCACTGATTGTACAGTCCTCCTCAATTTCGGAGCTCAGTTGGCTTCATTATTTCACAAAGCACATTGGCTATGTATCACACCTGTCTCCACGAGGTGCGACAACGGCACACCGTTACTCGGTGTCCGCCATTCTCTTAGCTCGTATATCAGCGGCCTGTCCGTGCTGCCGCTGCTCACCGTATATCTCCAGTCGTGTGACCGTCCGTGCCAGGTCAGCCAGGTGACTGATGGTGTCGGCAGCCACCCCCTGGAGCGACACTGACAGACCACCATCACCCCAGTACCGTCCCGGCCACCTCGGCTCCGTCACCTCCGGCCCTGTCGGACAGAGCTATGTCAGCTGACTGCAGTCGGACAGAGCTGCCGCCAGCTCCCCGCTGCACCACTGACACCAGAGTGTCAGACACTGACACAGTCAGCATTGAAACAGACGAGCGGCCGCACAGCAATTTTTCAGCAGCAGCAGTCATATGTAGAATGTGAATATGAACATGCTGCCGCTCTCGACAAAGCGCCATCTGTCGAGGCCACCCCGCCTGACCATTCGACAAACGCGGCAAGCGGCCACGCAGCGCCACCTGTCGCACACCACCATTTTGAAGATGGGTCATCTGAACGTGAGATCCCTGTTTGGACATCTGGACGAGGTCAATCACCTACTAACGAGCGAGGGACTAGACGTGTTGTGCCTCGGCGAGACATCACTGAAAACAAGTTGAAAGAACGTAGTGCAAAAGCATCTTAAAATATTCCACACTAAGGTTTTTTGGGTATTAGGGTAAACTGGCTTAGGGGCGAAGCAGAACGTCTGGTTCATGAAGAACACACACAGTGTTTCACATAGACCGAAGACACGTGCTGCTTCTTCGCGTGCAGTCTTAGCGGCCCCAGGGGGCTTCAACTCGACCAACACCGGTTCTTCTTCGTTCTCCCTAGTCACGTGATATTACGTCACACAAAGCGCGCGAAAGATAAACCCTTTGAAGGTTTTGCACGAACTAGCATCGGGTTTAAGAAGAAGGGGTTACGGTTTAATCCGTGTAATGGCTTTCATCAAGACCACACCCGCGGTACCACGTTCTAGCGTCTACCGGAAGCGATCGCCATTTTTCGATCGTGTTGGATCACGCTTTGTGCAGTGACGAGCGGCTGGTGCAAGATTGGGTGAATGGCAAGTAATCGAATATTGAAGAACTGAAATAAGGTTATTTTTTGGCTTGTCAAGTGTTGTGTATTATTTATATTACTTGTGATTGACAGTGATAAGCAATATCACAACGCTCTTCAAATGCATGGATGAATGCATTGGATGAAGAAAATTCATATGCAAGACCAATCAATGCAGTAAGTATTTATATGTTGTATAAATGCCCCATAGCTTAAATTATGCATGTGGTATTTAGACAAATCTTCCAAATGAAGATAAATCCGGAATAGAATAGAAGCAGGAATAGAAGCTTGCCATTTTGGGGGCAACTGATTTAGGTATAAATTTGACTGATTTTAATAAACATATGTTCTTGCAGATTAGTGCAATACTTTATCTAGTTGTACTTTATATGTTAAGTGCATTATTTTATTTTTGGAGTAGACTCATGGTCTCTGAAGTCAATCTGTTGAATAACGCATCCGCCCGACTCTTCATTCTAGGGGACGAGGCCATCTCCGCTCTGATTGAGGCCCTGGAGGCTGAGGAGAGCGTCCTGGCGCGCGGAGACGTCGACATCGTCGAAAACGCTGGCTTGAAGCTGGTGGTGGAAGGAGAAACTGTATGTGATTTGGGAGAATGCGATATCGCCACCCGGCTGCTGACATGGGCGATAGCGCATACTGTGTTTGGGAAAACATCCACTTGCTAAAGCTAAAGATGTGTTCATATTTGTACAGAAAGCAACCCTGAGCGTGAAGGAATCAACCTGAATAATTAAACATGCCCGAAAGGCTCTGGAGTTCTTTGGCTTGGATGTGTAAGGCAAGTGACACGGCCGAGGGGAAAGCGTTCTTGCAGGCTGATTGCGGGCTGATCGCAGGCTGAATGCGGGCTGGTTGCGGGCTGATCGCATGGGCTGGTTGTTCCTGACTGGATACTTGCAGGCTGATTGCTCAGAGTAAAGAGGAAGGTAATACATTTTAAGGTGTAGCAAATACTGTGTTTGCGCAGCAGATGTGACGGCGCAGGTCGATATAGCCATATGGGAGGTTCAATAGACGAATGAACGGGGATTTTGCGGTATTGCAATAGAACTGAAAGGGTTCTACAACCAATATTCAAAACACAGGGTGGTTTCCCTATAAACCTCAGGGACTTCTTCACAGACTCTTTGGGGTTCTTATCTAGGTGCTAGAAACGTTCTTATTATAAATCCTAAACCTCATAAATTTGGGGTTTCTGAAAAACGGTGGCATAACATTTTACCCCACAGGGGTCTAAATACCCATGTACGTTCTTAACGTTCTTCCAAAGTGTTTTCAGTGATGGCTCAGCGACCAGATCGACAGCCGCGCGCTGGTGTTTCCCGGCTACACCATCAGTAGGTGTGACCGACGGACCGGCTCCGGCGGTGGCGTGGCCGTCCTGCACCGAGACACTCTGGCCGTGGAGCCTCTCTCCATTCCATCCTCCTGCACCTCACTGGAGTCCCTCTGGCTGCAACTGAATTGCAGAACACCTCTCATCGTGGGCGTGATCTACCGTCCACCCGGAGGAGCCACTGCGCCCGTCATTGATGAGCTGCATTCTCAGCTAATGTGCATTCTGTCACGTAACAAGCCATGCTTCGTGCTCGGAGACACGAATTTTGACGTCTTACACCCTACTAAAACTGGAGTGACACAATATCTGCAGCTACTCAGAGAGCTGTCCATGAGTCAGCTGATCGACTCACCGACCCACCCGGGAGCCAATCCATCACTAATCGACCACATCATTACAAACCAGCCGGACCTGACGTCTGACGTGCGAGTCAGTCCCTGCAATATCAGTGATCACGATTTAATTCAGATGACCGTGACGGCCGCCGGACTCCGACCACGGCCGGCGGAGGTGACCATCAGGTCCACTCGACGCCTGAACCGTGACGCTCTGTGCCTGGACCTGCTGCAGGCCGACTGGGCGGACGTCAGTGCGGCCGAGTCAACAACAGATAAATGGGACGCCTGGCTGTCGATCTGGAGCCCCATCATCGACCGTCACATGCCGCTTCACAGATTCAAGATGAAGCATCCTTCCTACCCCTGGCTACAGGATGATGACGTCATAGATGCCATGGATGCGCGCGACCAGGCACGTGTTGATAAGGACCGGACTCCCTGTGAAGCTACAGAACGGGAGTATCGGCTCTGCCGGAACGCAGTCAAAAATGCGCTAAACCGTGCCTGTTCTGCCTACTTCTTGACTTCGTTCAAAAACCAGCGATCGACAACGTGGAAGGATATTCAGAGGTTCCTTATCGCCTCCAAGAAGCCTGCTCCAAGGACCAACAACGTGACTGATCAAGAGCCCCAATGGGCGGACAGGCTGAACCACCACTTCGCCCGGTGGGCCCCGACGTGGCGCAGGCCCTGGCAGCGTCATACGTCGGTGAGATCCTGCCGCCGCGGCCGCCGCGCGTGTGCAGCGGCGCGCTGTCACTGCGCCCGGCCACGCTGCCAGAGCTGTCGGCGGCGCTGCAGCGGATGAGCTCTTCGGGCGCTAGTGGAGCAGATGGGATCACGGTTAGCCTCCTCAGAGCTACGTTTCCCGTTGTTGGTCCCCACTTACTCCGCGTTATAAACAGTTCCATCGTAACGTGTGAAGTGCTGCCCCAATGGAAGTCGGCAACAGTGATCCCTTTGTTGAAGAAGGGTGACCCCAGTGATCCATGTAATTACAGACCAATATCTATTCTCCCTACTGTAGCCAAGCTATGCGAACGTGTGGTGTGTGACCAGCTGATGGACTATTTGTTATCACACAATATCTTGTGTCCTCAGCAGTTCGGTTTCCGTCCCGGCCAATGCACTGAGTCGGCTATGCTAGATGCCGTCATGTACGTGTCTGATAACATGGATCGTGGCTTGGTTACGTCGCTTGTCACCGCTGACACATCGAAGGCATTCGATAGTGTTGAGCACGACCGACTGTTAGATAAACTAGGGTGGTATGGCATAGACGATAAGTGGTTTGGCGCATGGTTGCGGGGTCGCACACAGTCGCTGCGTGGCGGGACTAGTACTCTGAATGTGACGCACGGCGTGGTCCAAGGTTCAATTCTGGGCCCTGTACTTTTTTTTTGGTGTTTACCAACGACTTGGCTCAAAGTATTCCTTACGGGAAACTGATAATGTACGCTGACGATGCCCAGTTTCTTGACGCTGACCTGCCTCAAAACACTTCAGATCTTCAGACTCGCATTGAACAAAACTTGGCCATTGCTGTAGATTGGTTTTCTCAAAACAGCCTCAAAATCAACCCCATTAAAACAGAGTTAGTTCTCATTAAGTCGCGGCGGCTCGCCACCAACGCGCAGTTCTCCGTCAACTTCGATGGCAGCTTTATAAGACCGTCGCACAGCGCCAAGATCCTGGGCGTCGCGGTGGACTCATGTCTGTCGTGGGAGCCACACATTTCAGCCATTGTGCGCCGCTGCTACAGCTTTTTGATCGGATTCGCCAGAATGAGGTACCGTCTCCCCGCTGAAACCAAGCGACTGCTGATCGAAGCCTTTGTATTCCCTCATGTGCGGTACTGTCTGTCTGTGTGGGGAAGCTGCACTGCTACCCAGAGGCGTCGTGTGCAGAAGGCTTTGAATTTTGCCGCGCGCATTGTCAGTAACGTTGGCTACCGCGAGCGAGTGTCACCGGTGTTACACGAGCTTAAATGGCTGAAAGTTGACGACCTTATCTATGAACATGATGTCTTGTTAGTACGAGCACTCCTCATGGACGATCGAGCACCGGAGCCTCTGCGCGAGCGAGTTGTTCGTCGCTCTGACGTATCCTGCCGCATCACCCGCTCGAGCATGGAAACACTGCTGGAACTGCCGCGTGTCCGCACTGAGTTTGGCCGCCGCTGTTTCTGGCCTCGTGCGTGTAGAGCCTGGAACGATTTGCCCACGGACTTACGAGCGTCGGCCGCAGGTAGCAGCGGCGCTTTCAAAGCCGCTTTGAGGTCATACCTGTTGGCTAGATGAGGCCCACCGAAGTAATACCTGTCGTTTATGTGCCGTGTCTTTTATGTGCGTTTTAAATCTTGCCCTGCTCTTGTCATACGCATTTTAAACCTGTATTTATGTTAACTGACGTGAATGCTCGAAAACCCACCATGTGGAAGCACCTAAATACATACATACATACATACATGCAACATACCTAATACGTATATGCGAAAAGTATATGCGTAATACAGTAGTCTATGAAACTTCTTATGCTACTCTCATTGGTTGCACTATATCTAATAATCATTCCCCATTGAAATACTTGCTCTCTGATCGTAACAATGCCTGCATTCCCTGCTGGCCGCCTTCGATCGTGGCGCCACCTATACTCTGTATAACCGCCGCTCCAGGGCCGCGGCCAGTCAGTCTCGTCAGTCTGCTCAGACTCGTCGTCAGCGAGCTATCTATGTAGTCAGTCAGTGTCAGTTGTCGATCAGGCGTGCGTTCGACATCCGGAAAATGAGGGATAATTATCCGGGATCATCAGTAATAATTTGGTATTGCAAGGACTATCGATGCAAAAAGTCATATGTTAATATTGCTTTTGCTTCAGTAATGGCTCTTTTACTCATTGGCATGTGCGTTGTGCACGGTGTCAGCCTAAAACACCGAATGATCCCGTTGATCCCGGAAAATTATCCCTGATTTTCCGGATGCCGAATTCGCACTAATACTCAATACGTTTGTTCGGAAATTTGCTGCTTGTGACACAATGCAACTATCGCTAGTACCTCAACTTTTAAATCACCCCGTGACGTTACACTAATATTCCACGCATATGCCACAAGCATGGACACTATCGAAGGGCATCCATTGAACCCCTTCCCCCTCTCACCACAATACGAGACGAGTAGGGGAAGTTGGGGCAATGCCGGAGTTGGGGCAAAGCCGAAATTCGAGATATTTCGAAAACCGTAAGACATGGATGCCACCTGTCAGTGATGCTCTGAAGCTTAACCCGCGCCCCGTTGGGCTCTGCCGAGCAACGCGCCCGGTTGGGGGGGGGGGGGGCCATTTTGGCCCCCCCTAAGATCTCGAGAACCACGCAACATAGCGACAAGCGGTAAACGGCGTTGGATAGCCCCAACGGGGAACTACCTTGTGACCCAATTTTGTTGACCTAGGTCAAACCGATGACGTCACAGGTCAGGTCAAAGGTCCAATTTTCACCGTTTACAGGCACTTCAAGAAATGCGTTGTAAAATCGAGTAAAATGCATTTCATTGAAAATCATCGATGGGGAAATGTTCTTCAAACACATATTTTGCTATTTGAGGTCACTGATACCAGGTCAGGTCACAGAGGTCAGGTCACGGGGGGGGTCACAATATGAAAGTGTCGTGTGATACATGTTTTATGGTCCATTTTACATGACAAATGCGATTATATGGGTCAGGCAGCCATTGGGGACAACTTAGATCACGTTTTGGTCAAGGTCAGGTCAAGGTCAGGTCAAGGTCAGGTCAAATTAGGTCAAATTTCAAAGTTAATATTTTTGCATAAAATGGGTATCGAATCGATGCAGCTCGTCACGGGGAGTTCAATGGTGGTCTTTGTTTTGCCGTACGTGGTCTAGAATTGCTAAAAATTGAGTTCAAAAATTTGACGTCATCATTTTTGAACAGTTTTTTCGCTATAACTTGGCCAAAAAACGAGATATCGATCTGAAATTTGGTATGTATATAGAAGAGCGCTGGGACTATCACATATATTCCGTTTTTTTTCGAAATTCGGAAAAATTTTGGATTTTTTAAAAGTTTTTCTAAAAAAATCAGTTTTTTGAATTTTTTTTGGTCAAAAACCAAAAATTTTGAAAATCCGAGATAGCAGTTTTGTAGCGCCGCTTTTTGTCTACTAGACCATATAAAGAACTTTGAAATTGCTTGATAACTGTAGATTTGGTGAGCGTTTCAAGATTGCATGTTTTTTGCTCATTTTTGCTCGAACATGACCTCAGTTTGACCTCAATAACTCCTGACCTAAGGTGACCTAAGACTTGAAATTTGGTGTGAAGGTGTCAAATTGATGCCCGGGAAGGTACTGAAAATTTGGCGGCGCTGCGCGCCGCCGTTTTCTTGCTATTCAGGAAAAACCACAGGGGGGGGCCAAAATGGCCCCCCCCAACGGGGCGAGGGTTAAGTGACTACAATTATCGCATGTTTGTTACGAGTCGTCATTCGGAATACTTCGACTGTGAGGGCGCCAAGAGCGTTTTCAAGGTACGTTTCCCTTGTACTACATGCGCCTTTGAAGCTGCATTTTTTACTCATTATGCTACCGTTTGTCTGGCCAATTCGGTCAAGTAATCTTTAGCATGTCTTTGCATAAGTGTGCTGCCTATTTGAAATTTATACAGCACGTTGAAAAGTTATGGGCCTGCAAATGAAAGTATGGCTGGCTGGGGTAATGCCGAAAACGTGCGATTACCTACGCACGTGTTAAAAGCACGCTACGTGGACTTTACTGCTGTAGAATAGCAACGCGTATTTTTAGTCACACAAATTACACTTTCAACCGACACAACGGCCTGTCACCTATAAGGAATTATTTACCTGGCATTTTCTTATTATATCACACAATTATAACTTCCAGTGTGCACCGCGTCCTCAAGCTCTTGAAACGTGTGTCAGCTTTGATGAATTCTGGATAAAGTTTGAGATAAAATGGCAAAACATCAATGTCGGCATTCCCCGTAGATCATTTCTCCCATTTTCGGCTTTCCCCGCAGTCCGGGGCAACGCCGAAAAAGTCACTTCTTTGATATTTTTAGTTTGTGCGCTTAACGGTATGCGAATTCATCAAATGCGCCTGGTATTTTTGAAAGGCAAAAGACTGGCCTCTCGAATGACGCCAACAAGAATAGCGTATGTTGTCTACCTTGCGTGCTACGGGCGTCAGAAAAAAAAGTATTCGGCGTTCCCCCAACTTCCCCTAATATACACGATTAACGATGAAACTTGCTAGTTGAGGGCCTGAGGCTGATCAGTTCGTCCATTTGCCGTCTCCCCTGTTCACTTGCATATACCGGCATTACATGTGTGATCTGCGGTATATCACCTCTGACATTGAGGCGCCAGAGGCGCTCCGGCAGCTGCCCCCTCAGTCGCGGGAGGTCGGCGGCGGTGACTGATAGGTCCTGCAGCCCACGGCACCTGGTGAGGGGCTCCAGGCTGCCGGCCGTGTGATCAGTAAAATCTGGAAAACACACAGACACACATACAGACAGGATCAGTTAGCTGTAATACATGTCGATATATAACAAAACGAAAAAACACCTGATAATTCACATGGTTTTATGGACACAGTAGACAATGGTAAAACAGTGCTATTATATGATATATGCAATCAGTTAAGCAAATGCATTGAACTTCATTGAACAGTGCAACACAATTGTTATGAGTATGATCAACTAACTCTGAACGAATATGTCACTGAGTGAACAGTCCTCCATTTTGGAGCTCAATTGGCTTCATTATTTCGCAAAGCACATTGGCTATGTATCACTTCTGTCTCCATTAGGTGCGACACCGGCACACCGTTACTCGATGTCCGCCATTCGCTGAGCTCGTATATCAGCGGCCTGTCCGTGCTGCCGCTGCTCACCGTATATCTCCAGTAGTGTGACCGTCCGTCCCAGGTCAGCCAGGTGACTGATGGTGTCGGCAGCCACCCCCTGGAGCGACACTGACAGACCGCCCCACGGGGACCGTTCCGGCCAGCTTGGCTCCGTCACCTCCGGCCCTGTCGGACAGAGCTGTGTCAGCTGACTGCAGTCGGACAGAGCTGCCGCCAGCTCCCTGCTGCACCACTGACACCAGAGTGTCAGACACTGACACAGCCAGCACTAACACATCCGAGCGGCTGCACAATGACATTTTTAGCAACAGCATACATACGTAAATATGCAAATAGGAGCAACATAAGTATTACGATTTTTGCAAGGCACATTGGCCTAGGCACTGGGCAGCCAGTCATGGTATAGTAACGGATCAGGTTGGTAGACAACATAAATATATGGTTCGCAGTGGTTGCAATTAAACCATTTCAAATTACCATAATTGCTACAATAATGTTTCATGCATGCACTTGATGCTCACACTATATCCAAATGCATGCATTGCATCACTCTAACAATACCATATAACACACACAAACAAGGCTGTAAGATGTTGGCTGAATTCGAACGGTTCGTCCATTTGCCGTCTGTCTCCCTGTTCATTTGTATATCCATGTGCATTGTCCATTATACCGGCATTACATGTATGATCCGTGGTATCTCACCTCTGACATTGAGGCGCCAGAGGCCCTTTGGCAGCTGCCCCCTCAGTCGCGGGAGGTCGGCGGCGGAGACTGACAGCCGCTCCACAGTCTCCCGTGAGCTCCGCAGCTCCGTCAGCTCGCTGTCACCGACTCCGGCCGGAAGGATAATAGTGTTTGGGCCCACCCTGATGATGGCACCACGAAGTTGACTTGGAATAGTAGTAACTTGTGCTGGAAAGGTGATTGAACCAATGTCAGGCATTTGTCTAAGTCAAACATTGTACACTTACCTACAGGTGTAGAAAACACAAAGTGAAAACTGTTTGTGGCTACAATGCTGTGATAATTCCGTGTCTGAGTAAATATGTATGTACTTTATCAAAACGATGTGAATTTCATAAGTTACGGCGACTTTCCGTAACATAATATTCAACAAATATAATGATAATGGGTCTTTGACATATAAAACAAAATCACCACTAATTAGTCCATTATATTCGGAACTAGGCATATTTTCATGATGTCAATTGATCAATATGACATCATGATGAGTTTTTGAAACCTTTTCACATAAGTATTTTGTTCAGCACTTATGTGTAGCTAATTATAACAATTTTGTATCGTTATAAAATTTGTAGCGTAAATATTACGTCCAATAGAGGCCCAAATCATTGACCATCACCATTCACCACACGGCACACGACTTGTCATCCTACAGCTTGCCATGGCTTATGGCTTCCGTCTTACCTTAGGATGAAGCAGCATTACCTGCAATACATGTAATATGTGTTGTATGCAGTTATTCTTGGTTTGATTTAGGCTTCAGATTTTCAGGGATAAACTGCTTCTCCACGTTATTTATGAACATTTGCTAGAAAAAAGCAGTTCCTTAGAGCAAAAATAACAAGCAAGGAGCGTTGCCGCCGGCCAGTTTTCCTGTTCTTCGTGTCCCTGTGTCGCCCCCTGCCCCGTTCAGGAGCGCCCGGCAGCGCCACCTGCACCTGACCAGTCCGGCAGCGTTTGGGGTCGCCGCGCAGTGCGCACCGCCGACAATCAGCTGACGCGGCCGGCAGCGCGTCTCAAGGTCACTGGAGGTCAGCCGGGCCGCGTATTCGCAAACTGTGTTAGACGAATCGGCTATCCAACTAGCGACATCTCTAGTGTGACGTCACAGCCATCCAACGCGATAATGCATGCATTGAGGCAGATTTGAGTTGTAACGTTTTGCAAAGTTGAAGGAAGATGAAGATAAGTCGCCGTAGCCGAGTGGTTAAAGTCTCGGTCTGGTAATCGAGAGAGGGGTGGATCCATTCCCACTGAGTCCATTGTTTTCAATTAAAGACGTCGGTCGTAGACACGCATTTTTGGCCCCCTTCGTTTGCACGCCGATAGCGCACGCCCAAAAATCTATGAAAAGTATTCATCTGATTAAGGAATATGTTGTCAAAGAACTTGTACCAGTTTGGTTGCAGTCTGTACACGAATTACCCATTTTGTTACGGCACTGTCGATATTCGTCAAAGTTGGAAGAGCTATTACGAAACACACCCGAATGACAACGGATTGCTGTATTAAGTCATAGATAAACGTACCTACAAGATATGCAGTATTTGTACAGTCACAGTTGTAAAGCAATGCATATGAACACAGCCGAATAGTTTCATAAAAGGTGCTTCCATACTGCATATCCAGCATAACATGCATGCTTTCACAAACGCACAAGACATGCAGTATTTGTACAGTTGCAGTTGTACAGCAATGCATATGAACACAGCCGAACAGTTTCATAAAAGGTGCTTCCATGGTGCATATCCAGCATAACATGCATGCTTTCACAAACGCACAAGACATGCAGTATTTGTACAGTTGCAGTTGTACAGCAATGCATATGAACACAGCCGAACAGTTTCATAAAAGGTGATAAGCCAGCAGCATATCCAGCAGATAAGCCACGTGCTATCTATGCAAATACACACCAATACAAATCACCAGTTGGTAGAGAAGTCACGTATCAATGCCCAGCACCATGTCCTTTCGCATTCGGCACGTTAGCGCTAACGTTTCCAGCCAGGCATCGGCGGCGCTTTGCAGGCGCCGTGGCTCCTCCGCAATCCTTCGGGCGCCGCCCCTTTCCCAGCCGAGCGGCGCCACGCGGCTGCCCTTCAGGCCGCCGACTGATTGAAGTGGGCTGGACGCGTATCTTGCCTCGCCCAGCACCACCCCTGCTCAGGCACTCTGAGCGCGGTCCAGCTGACTGCAGATAGCTGTTCAGCTGGTTGCTCGTCTTCAGTGCAGCCACCGTACCTGTCGCCCTTATCAGCGCACTGTTCGTTTGTCCATCCCCGTACTTGAGGAGCGCACGCCGCATGGTAGACCAATATCCGTCGATCACCTCCGTCGATGGTTTCTGCCCGACTGAAGAGTCTCGTCGGAGCTCGGACGGGCTCACATCGACGGTCTCGGAGGCGTTCGCTGACGATGACGGTCCTGGAACCGCGGCTTCAAAGTCGTCATCGTCCCAGATCGCACAGGAAGCATCTTCAGTTCCACCTGGGTGGCCCGAGTCGCCCTCTGACGGTTTCGGAAGAATGGGCTCAGTCGCCACTTTCTCGCTTATTGGCGCATCTGTCAACTCTCCAAAGAAGCTGACGTCTGGAGCTTTGTCCTCACCCACCGCCACGCACATCAGCCAGCGTCGGTTCTCGGCAGAGGGTTTGAAGGCTTGTGGCAGAGTCATGTTTGTCACATGAGAGCAGGCCAGCTGATGCTTGCAGATGGCACCCGATTGCCCCTGGGGGCACGAGCAGACTCCCACGTCCATAGCCACATCGTATGTGACGTTCGGGTGCGATTCGCTCGCCACACGGAAGTGGTGGTCGTCTACTCTGGTGATGGAAGCCTCGTTCATGGTAGGTGGTGCCAAACGTTTGCTTTGGCGACGGCCAAGAGCGAAGTCGATCAGGCGCTGCACCATGTAGCCGTTGTAGATCTCGTCCATGAGCATGATAAGCTCGCATGCGTTGCGCGCTTTACACCTGCGAAAGAAATCAGAAACAGATGAGGAATGTGTTAAGACTTGAACGCAGTTCGGTGTCGTAAGGCATGTCCAGACTTGGTCCAGACCAATCCAATCGTGGCAACATTCACCAATGTATTTCATGTCGCAAGCATGTAAGTAAGCAATAAGCAAGCCACGCCAAGGGCGGTAATCCGATCGTAACACACGGGGGTGAGGGGAGGGGCGTTTTACGTCCTCTTTAACACATAAACAAAACAAGATTTGTTCATATGCCGTGGGGAAATAAAGCTAGAATGCCCCCCCCCACACACACACACACACACAAAGAAACATCCGATTATAGATCTGTTTGTTACTTTGCATATGTTTGTTCAGGTTTGAAAAATTAACCCGCGCCCCGCGCCCCACTGGGGGGCTATTCATAGCCCCCCCTCCCGTTTTTCTGCAATAACTTCCAACCCGCTTGACGTATCGACGCCAAACTTTCAGTACCTTAGGCTGCATCAATTTGACACCTTGTGTAAAATTTTGAACTTCGTAACTACTATAGGTCGGCCGGAAATGATGTCAGAGTGACGTCATGTTCGGCCGATTTCGACGCAAAACATTGAACCACGGCAATCGCTCCCAAGAGCTCAGTTTTTAAGCTAGATCCAATTTCTTTGCATGAGAGGACTCAGAATAGACTGCGCTATCAAACTACTATCTCGGATTTTCGAAATTTCAAAAATTTTGAAAATTTAATATAATAATATCCAAAATCTATATTTTTACATTTTTTCAAAAGGTTTTTGACTTTTCGAAAAAAACGGAATATATGTGATAAAACGCATTATTATGACTAACTCTAGCAAGTTTTAGCTAAACATCTTCAAAAATGGGCAAGTTTTACTCATTAATGCAAAAAATCACAATTATTAATTTTTCAAATCAATTTTTCAGCACGTATTTGATATCGTACGCCAATATAAATAGCACCATCGTGTTCCTGAGCTCAAACTGCATCCAATAGACACCGTTTTTGTTGAAACATTAAAACTTCAAAATTTGACCTTTTTTGACCTGAATGTGACCTGACCTAAGCTAAATTCGACTCAAAATGACCTCGAATGACACAGACGACATCAAATTCGAAATCTCTGACCTAAATGGACCATAAAACATGTGTCACGTGACCGACGCATGATATAATATTTTCGTGACCTGTGATGACCTGACCTTGACCTGAAAATCAAAGTACAGGTCTCGCGAGATTAAGCGGTAGGTTTTGCACTTTTACAATTCCGGTTATATCTCAGAAACTAATCGATCTACGATGAAGCCATTTTACACGATCATGGCCGGCTTGTTACCCAACAAGTCGATGGCATCTTCAACACTTAAAAGCTTAAGACGACGAAGATATAGCCTGAAGTACACTAAATTTTCTAGGTGCAAAACCTACCCCTAAAAACCGCGAGACCTTTACAAGTTTGGTACCCTCAGGGTAACTAGAGCATCTGTTCCCGAGTGTGTGATCCAAAAATGAGCCTGATCTGACTTGTAAGACGGCGGCCAGAGCCCAAAACGTGAACAAGCCAAAATGCTTATAATTTTGACTTTGACCTGACCTGTGACGTCATCGGTGACCTCGAGGTCAATGAAATTAGGCTTCGCTCGACATTTTTTTCCGGGGCTATCAGACGCCGTTTGAATTTTGACGATCGGCCGAGTAGTTTCGGAGTTAGGAGGGGGGGGGGCTATGAATAGCCCCCCCCCCCCAGTAGGGCGTGTTATACGCAGACCCCAGTGGGGCGCGGGTTAACACAGGACTCGCAAAATTGATCTGCCTTAGATCAAGTCATCAATAAAATATGAAACTTAAAGTTCCATGCAGCCTGTCACCATAATCAAACTCTGAAGCACTGCGTTTCAAACTCATGGGTGATAAGCTGTAGGAATGACAGGATCACATTTTTAGAAGCATTGCTGCTAAACTTGACCTGGTGACGTCACCTTGGGTGGGTGACCTTGGGTAAAAATTTCATACACAAAGCAGAATTGATGCAAAATTGCAAAAAGCTGGCAGCAAAAATTATCATGAAGTGGTCCCAGAAAGGCAGTTTTATACTCATATTCTAATATAAGTGTAAGGCACTGCGAGTTGGCCAATAATTACGGACAGAAGAGATGACGACATAACATCGGGGGATCGACTGTGCGACTGGAGTGGTAGGCTGTATAGTGTATAATATTCAGTGAAACATTCGCATGCCGCTGGTCCATCACTCAAGGTTCGTGTGAAGAAATACCATCATTAATGTATGCTACAGCGAATAAGAAGGGAAACATACCTTGAACGAAAAAAGCAAAGCAGATTAGAACGGAACTGATGTAGGGGCTGATAATTACCTGTTCATGACGATGTCTTTGATGATGCACATCGTGGCCTCCGCATAGTTGTTCGTGTGGTTCCCTCGAAGTGCGGATCCTTGGCGGTACGCGATCGCCCATTCAGCGCGCCTTTCGATGAGGCCCTCCATGTACCTGAAAGACGATCAGTTCAATACTACATGAACTTGCTCGCTTAGCTTCTAAAGCAAGTGTGGACCCACTGTTCGTGTACTGTTCGTGTCAAGAAAAGGGTTCAAACAGCTTAACTACCCTCATCTTCGCCCTCAACTCGAGTTGAACGGGGCGCATTCTACCGAAGTGTGACGGTTAGGTCGTTCTGACACCTGTCAATCTGAAGCTGGGAGCACACAAGCCTCATCTAAAGTTCTACTTCCTTTGAAACCTTATTTTGGGACCAGAAATACATGAATAACTGCCGACTTCCATTGGTTGAATACTGATTAGGTGCTAGGGCGTACACAAAATCAAAACTAATATCGTTGCTGCATTAGCCGTCATCAGTGAAATCAGAAATATAGCATATCAAATCCCGTTTGAATTTTGACAATCGGTCCAGTACTTTCGGAGATGGGGGCAGGTTCTGTAGAGCACCCCCCCCCCCCTCAGTCACCCGTGTGTTGGAAAATTTCCTAGTCATCGTGAGCTATTACGAAAAATTGTGTGGAATTTGATATAAAATATTCATTATTACCCATAATTTGGCCTGGGTTCAGTGAAGCTGTGAGTAATGATCAGCATACGCAACTTGGATCAAATATTAGGCTCGTGACAAGATCCACTAACCTGGCGAAACCTTCATGGGTTATGTCTTCTGCAGCCAGGAGAGCCTGAAAGCGTTCTGGGCTTTCCGCATACACCAGTTTCTGCATGATGCGCATCAGTTCCTGTCGTTTGTCCTTCGGGACGCCGTGTTTGCTGTCTAGGAGCCACCTCCAGACCTGCTGCAGTACATGAAAAACGCAGAGGAACTGTTCGGCTTCAGGCCAGACGGTCCGCAGTGCCCTTCGTTCAGCATCGCAGTTGTCCGTGATGAAAGCGGAAGGATGCCCTCGTCCATTGAAGGCTCCACTGCCGACAGCTTTCTGGAGGAGCTGGAAGCCTGCAACAGATAAAATGGTTCCTGTTGGAGGTTTATACGATGGTGGGGAACTATCAGCCATCTCCCGTTGGCAGTGTTAATACAGCGGAAATAAATGGTGACCCTGGAAATATAACAGTTCGTATTCCCCATCACGACACACACACACAAAAACATCTCACGACATTACTGCACAAATGCAGCGCTGAACGCACAGCTCCATAAGCATCTAGTAAGCATTTCATGAGATTGTCTTGCCATTCACGAGGTTCACGAGCAGCTCAGCTGATCATAAGGCGCGGGGAAACACGTATCCTTGCAGTGGCAAATGTGCCCCAGAAGATCTTAAGCAGTTGCGAGGGACAGTCATTGTCAATGACAAAACACTTGAAAACCAAAGCTCCATACAATAAACGTAACGTCATGCAAACATGTAACGAAATGGGTCAAGCATACCTGTTGTCAGTTGAGCCTCGTCTTGAGATGAGGAGAACACCACTCCCAAAGGCAGGGCTCCAGCAGGGCTGCAGCAGAGCAGCGGCAAGACCGCGGTGTTTAGACGATCGACAGAAGCTGTGGCGTCAACAAACACCACCTCTCCAGCCTCTCGGAGGGCATGGACGCGCTTCATGAACGGCGTCACCAGAGCCACGCAGAATGAGCCCGAGCTGCTTCTCTCAACCTCGATCACGCTTTTAGTGGTAGCTGCGTACCTTTTCAGCGCGTCGAACATGTCTTCGTCGTTGTAGCCTCCAACAGTTGCTTTGGCCCACTTCTCTCGCATGTACTGTACGGCTCGGAGCGTCGGGTTGGTATCGGCGCGGGCGTGCTCCATCCAGAACTCCGACCCCAGATCGAGCTTCAGGCGATGGTACCGCTGCGCCTCTGCTGCGCCCATGCCTGAGAAATAGAAGTTATTTTACTTAGGTATCTGATGAAATAGTTGTTTTCTACAACGCCAATGCAATTCCTTTGTGTTGTTATTTTCATTGTGTATACCATTTCGATTGTGGTTTCCTTGCCTTCCCAGTTTTCTTAGGTTCCACTTCCGTCACATATACCTAATGTTTTTCGATACAATGTAATTACTAGATCAAAAGTCGGCTGTCACAAAGAACGGAACATTGCATGTCGCTTTAATTACATCGATCAATAACCGTTGGTACAAGACACTGCTTGTCTGCTTATTTGCATTGGGTAGGTACTGATAATGACAACATGTCAGGAAAGGAGAAATCATGTTAACAAGGACAAAACAAGTGAGGATTGGAGAAGGAAGAGCGGATGCCTCATCATAACTTTACTTACCTCGGTGAAAGTATTCAAAAAACTCCTTTTCCACCTCAGGGAGCACTCGAAGCTCTTTCAGCGCCTTTGCACACGCTGCATGGTTGTGCTCTCCAGTCACGACGATGATACATGGATGAGTGTCGAGCAGTTTGTCGTCCTTCCTCTTCCGCGTACTCGCTTTCTTGATCTGGATATGCATCCTGAAGGAGCATCTGTAAATAATCATTTTAGTTATGACATGGCGTGAGTTATTTTCCATGCAGTTTAATAAGGCTACACCCAAATCTCTAAATCAAAGGAGGGTTGAATGGACCTCCTTTCGCTGGAGGGAGGGGGGCTTGGGGGGAGGGCTGATTGTACCTCCCTCAAGTGCCGAACAATTATCGTAGAAATGCGGGTAACACATCTCAAAAGCTCTTAGCCCGTGCCGTGCTGGTGGTCTGAATTTTCCGTGTCGTGCTGGGGAGGGGGGGGGGGGTCACGCCCCCGTGTAACTCAGGTCCTGGGCCACGTAGCGACACGTGGTTAGCGGTATTCGAAAGAGCCTCAAAAATAATGATGGAAGTACAGACTTCCGTCATTTTTCCAGATCAGGTCAGAGGTCTGGTCACCAGAGGTCATCAAAGGTCAAATTTTGCCTATTTCAACAATTCTCGAAATATCCAACGCATAGCTCGGGAGCCAAAAGAGCTACAGCGCTACGGAAAAGTGCATTCCACAGCTCTTTTACAGGCATTTCTGAGCAATGCTCTCAGATTTGACCTCAGGTCAACAGCTTAGCCTCCAGAGGGCAAAAACTCCAAAAATAACAGTCTTTACGTAAATTGTTTTTAGGTAATAACTTTTGACTCACAAAATCTACCACATTAATTTTGCCACAATCAAGTTTCTCTCGTTGAAACGTGTCCGACCTTTGAAAGGTCATTTTGAAAATTGAAAATTTAACCTCAGATCAAGGTCAGGACCTGACCGGAAATGGTCATGCTGCATATCAGTCGATCTGTGTCGTCGAGCTGAACAGATCTAGCGTGTTTTCAGAGCTGAACACATTTGACGTGTTTGCACTGCTCTCGGCCATCTTAGTCGAAAGTTTTAAGTTATGGTAAAAAACCTGCTAGTGGCCTTTCATGATATTTCATGCTGCCTATTTCATTTTTTTTTTTACATTACATTTCACTCCACCAACTGATGTTTGTCGATGCTTATGCTAAAATCAGTAGTATTTACTTACCCTGTGTTGTGCTTCTTCACTCCCTTGTGTCTTTTATCTCCAAATTGGCACAGCAGTTTTTGGCTAAAAAATATGCGTTCACCGACAGGGTTTCGTGAGTAAATTACGTTGAGTGAAGTTTTTGATGCGCGGCAGTACAGCTCTTTCCACAGAGCAAGCTCTGCTTCGCTGCTGACGTTCGTTCTGAGAATTTGGCTTCCAGTTGCAGTGGATTTGACGATGACGTTGTCGAAGTTACTGTTTCGGAAAAGTTCGGAATGCAACACATCCATATTGAAATATCATAACCTGAACCCAGACGCACAAGCCGTAAAATTTAGAACACCGAACGTGAGTAGTTCCTAGACTGAGACTTGACCAGACTGCTAGAGACTGTTACGACTGTGGGCGCTAAGCAAACGGAACATGCGCGATATCTGCCGCACTTCCGTGATTCCAAACTATTGCTTCCAAATTCGCGTGAAGGAAAGTCTTTGACGATTCCATTTTAACAGTATCAGTAGTGCCGCAACAGTCCATGGTAGATCGGTTGGACTGTAAACATTTCTCTTATGCAGCATATTCTTTGCTGAAGAATACTTACCTCTGATTTCTTAGTTGTACGCCGTTGCGAACAAAGCCAAAAAGCATATATTGACAGATGAGACGAAAACGAAATTTAGCGATGGGATTCGAACCACCGACCTCCAGATCACCATTCTGCTGCTCTGACCACTCGGCTACCGCGATCACGAGGATCGTACGGCTTAAATATTGTTAAGATAAAACCTAGCTTCAATACACGCAACCAAGACCGCAGTGTATGACGCTGCCTTGACGTCACTCAAGAGGCACGCTATTGGTCGGCCGATTCGTCTAACACAGTTTGCGAATACGCAGCCGGGCCGCGGCCCGCCAGGTGGCCGTGACGTCACAGCCAGCGAACGCTGAGCGCCGGAACAGCTACTGTTGTTTATCCCTTCCTAGCCATTCATATATGAGTAACTTCAACCGCTGCTCACCATCTGTGTCAAGTAGCGTAATCCGTGACCCCAGCTCCGTGGCCAGGTGACTGATGGTGTCGGCAGCCACCCCCTGGAGAGATACCGACAGACCACTCCCGTACCGTCCCGGCCACCTCGGCTCCGTCACCTCCGGCCCTGTCGGACAGAGCTGTGTCAGCTGACTGCAGTCGGACGGAGCTGCTGCCGGGTCGGGAGGCGGCTGACACTGTGGTGTCAACCCCTGACACAGACGACACTGACAAAGCCAGGGTCGATCGGCACTGTTCGACAGTAATTGAACATTGCGCACAATGCATGCGCTATGCTTATACATGCGTCAGTTTATTAACACAGTTCAGTGCATACAGGTAGGTAACACAGGTTCAGTGCATACAGGTCATACTCGTTTGAAAGAGTAAAAGTAGGTACAATACAGTGGCTAATGTTTGTGTAGCAGGTAGGTAGCATGGCACACATATGTCCGCTGAACGTTTATCACTGAAACTGTTACTTTATGTACCATGTAAGTACCTACCACCATTCAGAAGTAATAGTACGCGTTTCCTCAACTATTTCTTACCGGCAACGTATAGCGTCCTCAGTGACGTCGGCAGCAGCCGCAGCCACCGCCCCGTTCCGAAGGACGGGACCCTGACGGTCAGCTCCTCCAAGCGGGGAAGACTCTGCAGGAGCGCCGTCAGCTCATCCTCGCCAAGGGCCGACGGAGCGTCGAGCTTCGTCATGGTTACAAGGCCGAGCGCCTCTCTAAGCGTTTTAAATACACTGGCGACCGATGGCTGGGGCTCCGTCTGTACCGTGACGTCACTGTGTGCCGATGATTGGGGCTCCGTCTGTACTATGACGTCACTGACTGCCGATGACTGGGGCTCCGTCTGTACTATGACGTCATTGGCCATTTTTCTAGCTCTACTGAAAAAAAGAACAGAAGTCGATAAATTTACTGATCAGGCATAACAATTCCGCATTTATTGTCGGCTCATTTGATATTTCGATATACATTTCCATATCATCGTCGTCAGTCATGGTATCGTCAAATCTACTCGGTTGCATAAAATCGTTCAGAGTTGATTTGATACGACTCTGAACGATTTGATACGACCGATTAGATTTTGTGACACGATTGCTGACGAAGACATGTAAATACGTGCGGGATATAATGCCCCAAACTAACCAACTGTATACAGACTGCAGGACGTCTGTCGAAAACTGGAACAATACGATCGAGACTAAACCGCTGACTTGCAAAAGATAGTACGAATTCAAGACATGTTTCTTTGATTGCGCGGAAATTACAAGAACAGGTTACTCGACCTTCAAAGACCTGGTGATGTTTTATTTCTTACACCTTCTACAAAGAACGTTTACTTCTCACCATGACAGCTCTCCGAAATATATCAGCCCCCACAGCCACCCCTGCTGCCTCCCAGTCTCACCCCTGGGGACGGCCGGATGGCGCCGCTCGCCGGCGGACCTCCTGCCGCAGCTCCTCCACCACGGTCTGGCGAGTGGTCCGCTCCTCGATAACCGCCTGCTCCAGGCGGACCACCGCACCGTGAAGTGTGGCGTACTCCCCCTTGAGCTTCTTTGTCTCCTTATTGTCTTTTGCCACCACCTCGTTTAGAATGGTCACTTTTTCACGAAGGGGGGCCACCACTCCACGAAGGGCGGACATCTCTTCACGAAGGGCGGACACCACTTCACGAAGGGCGGACACCTCCCGGCGAAAGGCGGCCAGGTCTTCACGCACATCTGTCATCTCCATCTGGAACGCAGAATTACAGTTTTTACGTTTCTACTCATCATAAATCAGTGGCCTAGTACGTAGCGTTACGTCGTACGCATTACGACATGTCGTGCAGCGTCGTGTCTAATCACGTCACAAAACGACATGTCATTACGTATTACGACATGTTTTGTCATGCAACCCGTATTGTTGCATACCAGGCAGGCAAGCTTGGCAGTCAGGCAGACAGGTCTTATGTATGTAGGTAACCAATATAGAAATTGACTATCGTTACTAGTTTTTCGCAAAAAAAGAGATAATAAAAAAAACGTTATCACTTCGAAAGTCTACCCCTGGCCAGACCGTTTTCATAACGCGGACGGTGAGGGGCCGGTTCGACCTTAAGCGATTAGCTCCTGACCTGATGCACTTAGAAACACCAGATGTATAGGGTAAGTGAACTCATACGACATCTCGCCGCTGTTCAAATCTAGTGACTGACACAGTCACACAGACAGTTACACAGACAGTCACACAGACAGTCACACAGACAGTCACACAGTCACACAGACAGTCACACAGATAGTCACACAGACAGTCACACAGACAGTAACACAGACAGTCACACAGACAGTCACACATACAGTCACACAGCAGGACCTCGGCTAAGGAATTTCGACTGGGCAGATGGGGACAAACCAGACTCCAGAATGTCATATACCACCTAATATACACCGTATAAGCGGACCTTTACACCACGCGTAACATACATATTATATATACCGTAGGAAAAGGTATACCAAAATCCTGCCTAATCAGTTAAGGCATCCGTAAACATGTCTACACAAACTTCTACCAAAGGTTTCGAGGCCAGCGTAGGGCGCCCATAAGACGAAGTCGAGCCCCAGGAGGCTAGCAATATGGCCCTTTAGAGTCCGCTTTGGGACCCTAAATGGCCAAATGTGGACGTGGGGCCCAAAGAAGCCAGTGCGTAGCCCTTTTAGACCAGCGTGGGGCAATATAAGGGCAGCGTGGGTTCCTCTAAGACCAGCGGCGTGGGGTCTTCTAAGGCCAGATTGGGGCCCACTGGGAACAGGCCAGCTTAGGGCTATCTAAGGACAATGTAGGCCCTCTTAGGTTAACGTGGGGCCCTCTGTCTTCTGAATTCTAAGGCTGGTGCTGGGACATCAGAGGCCATCTCGATGGCCTCGATGGTCAGACTGTAGCCCTTATGCATGTTTAACCCTCGCCGGACCTATTGGTTTTCTACATACGCGCCGGCCGAGGGGGGGGGGGGGCGGGTACGACCCCCCTCACCGTTTCGCCCCTGGTGGAGCTAGCGCGTCGCGGAAAAAACGAGCGTGTGCGCCGTTACAAGACGCAGAGATTGGTACCCAATTTTAAGGTCCTAGGTCAACCGGTGACCTCTGAGGTCAGGTCAAGTGCCCCAGGGTACGGTTCGGTTTTTGGTGAATAACTTCGCAAAAAACGGCCGCAGAGCCGCGATTTTGGCAGCATCGTGTTCGCCTCGCTCAGGCGCGTCGAATGGTATACTTTTTGTTCGGATCAGGTCAACTTAGGGTGTTGACCTCAGGTCAAGGTCAGGTCAGCACCCCCAGGTCACGAAGTTGGTCGAAAGAGGTCATGTCGCATATCATTCGATTCGGCAGGTCTTCCTGAATCCATTGGTGGCTTTCTCGACTCGCTAGCTCAATTTGATCGGGAGTTATTGACGAAAAACTAATATGACCTTGATGACGTCATAAATAACGTCACGGAAGGTCAACATTGCAAAAATGACGCATCTAACCTTGCAAGGAATGCATCAAATCACGATTCTGTGTGCTTGAGATAGTTGGAGATCGTTCCCGGCGCCAGAATAGCAGTTTTCATTTTTCCCCATTGACTTATAATGGTGAGGTCACGAAAATGACCTGACCTCATATGACCTTTAGGAAAAATCCGAGATATACAAGTTGTGAGACTAATAATGGATACTAGATCCTGCAAGTTTCATTTCCCTGTGACATCTCCTCTGGCAGTGAGGGCGTTGCGAAGTTGCGACATCTGAAGACCGTGCAGAGGTTCACTTATGACGTCATAGGTCAGTGACCTGACCTGACCCAAAAATGCGGTTGGTGTCAAAAGATGCGGCTTGGATCAAAGGTCAGGTATGCCAAGTTTCAGCTCTCTATCGCCAGCGTGTTCGGAGCTATCGCGAAAAAAAACCTACGGGGGGCGGCACCCCCCCCCCTTGGCCGGCGAGGGTTAAGCCCTCTGAGGTCGAGACGGACCCCTAGATGCCGGCATGACCTCTCAGAGGCCGGTACAGGCTTACTAAAACCGGCATGGGCTCCTTGAGAGCGGAGGGGGCCTTTAGAGGCTTACTCAAGGGCTCTCATGAGCCATCGTGGGCTTTGTGAGGTCAGCATAGGCCTTCAGTGAGGCCATTGTGGGTGTAGAGTCCGTGTCCACCAGAGACGTGTATTGGCTGCCTGCCAAGCACCAACTGACCCGGCCGGCCAGGGAACTGACCCGGTCGGCGATCACAACATCACGTGATCACAGTAGGGCGGGCTGCCACTGGCCGCAGTGCAGACAGCGCGGACGCCAGTTGATACACCCCAGATACCAGTTTTTCAGATATCGTCACCAATTTTTCAGGATACTTCCGGGCAGCACAGAGAGGAGGACCGAGAGCGTGTCACGCGTCGCTCCTCACGAAAGCCGTCCGCAAGGGTCGGTGGTGGTGGGTGTGTCGGCGGATCAGCCTCTGAGTCGAGTGGCGGCCCCGCAACTGGCTCTTCTTCCGGTGCCTGGAGTGACTGAGGGATCCTGGTCGGGGTCAGTCCGGACGATGGCGGCGGCGACGGTCCCGGTCTGGTGCCCACTGCTGGCCTGGCTGTGGCCAACACAGAGGCAACGTTACCTCTGGCAACAGCGATGGAGACTCTTTGTCAGAGCCAGACTGTTTCGCGCTTGTCACCGGTGCGGGCTGTCAGCCGACTGCCAAGCTCCTTCGTGAGACAGGCTGCAGCCGGACCCAAGACACCAGACGTTTCGACCGCAAAAGGGACGAAGACGTATCGCTCACAGAGAGCTGCATATTGGGTGCGCTTGCGCTCTTCCGCACAGCGGGCGGCGCTCCCAGGATTCAAGGCGGAGCTGATGATGGCCGTTGATGAGTAAGTGTCGCAGCAGGTAGCGTCCCATACGAGGCTCATTCGCCGGCTGAAAGGGAAGAGTGTAATCCCATCGGGACGTCGGCCATCTCATCTGTCAAGGCCGGTGGGCTCCAGCACACTCTCAAGTCCTGCACTGCTGAGTGCTCGCCGTAGCACGTCATTAAGGTTAGCGTGACGTGCGTGGCGGCCAGCACTCTTGGCACATGAGAGACCGTGGTGTCCCAGTTGGTCAACAGGGCGATGGCAGAGCTGACAGTTATGGACAGACAGTTCGTGAGGAGCGACTTGTGACACGCTCTCGGTCCTCCTCTCTGTGCTGCCCCGGAGCATGCGCATGTCCCACTTTCACAAGTGGGTCTAGGGCTTGAAGGCCCCAAGACATGCCTATTTTTGAAAGTTGCTGCTGCGATGTCTAAAAATACCGCTACTGTGTTCCGGGCGTTCATTTTACACATTGTGACCAAACAGTTCCCAAAAGCTATGATAGCCTGGCCATAAATGACGTCAGGAAGACGTCATGTCCTGCCATTTTCGACAAAAAAAAGGTATCGTGGTAAGAGATGTCAATTGACAGGCCTACAGTTTTGAAGACACAAAATTTCTTTTTTATCAATAAAAGGTGCAAAATTAATAGAACTATAAACCTGCTATCTCATACTTTTGAAAATTTTGGATTTTGATTCCTTAGAATAAAGGATGGATAAAATAGCAAAAAAATATTCCACAAGGTTTTCGAAGTTCGAATAAAAAAACGAAACAAATATTATGACCCTATCGTCTTCTATCCACGTACCAAATTTGATATACATACCTCTCTTTTTAGCTAAGTTATAGCGAAAAAAACTGTTCTTAAATGATGACGCATAATTTCCCAAATACATTTTTAGCAATTCTGACCACGTAGCGCAAAACAAAGACCGCGATGAGACTTCCCGTGACGAGCTGCATTGAATCAATACTTATTTTTATAAAATATCAACTTTAAAATTTCACCTAGTATGACCTGAACTTGACCTGACCTTCACCAGAACGTAGCCTTAAACTGGCCTTAACCCTCGCCCGCACATGCCATTTTCCCATCCTAGAACGCACATGGGAGGGGGGGGGGAGGGGGGTTGCCACCCCCGCGCCATTTCGTTCCTGTTGGAGATAGAGCTTAGCGGTAAAGACCAAAAAGATGCTTTGGGAAGAGACGAATCCAATGTTACCCAGTTTTACCTTCTCAGGTCAGTCATTGACCTTCCAGGTCAGGTTAAACTAAAAAATGTTGCTGTTTTTGGTCACCGTTGGATATCAAGTGCGCTGCTTATCATATACCGATGACGATGCCGTTTTCTGGTGCCAGGCCAGCTAGAACCTCTTTGTCACACTACCCGACCAGATTTTTGCTGCTGAGGTCATTTCAGGTCAAGCTAGGTCAAGGTCAATTATATGGGTTTGTATGTCTGTGTGTGTCTGTGTGTATGCTGATGTGTGCACCGATTGATTATGTGTCCATATTACATGAAATCATGATCTGAGAAGCTTTACCAAAAATGCAGTCAAAAAAAAATCACAAAAAGTAAATTCAGCTTGCCTAAAACGCAATTATCTTAGATGACCTAGGTTGACCTTGACCCTGACCTTGACACCTGTACATGGTCGAACAACATGTTCCATGATAGGTGGGAGGTAAGACTGGCAAAAAAGGCCGAAATCAAGGTGTCAAAACCTCACAAGGCCCATAGCAAACGCAAGATGTTGAGAATTGGCCATTTGGGTCATGACATGACCTGACAAACAAGGTCATATCTCCGAAACCAAAAATCTCAGAAACTTGAAATTTTCAGTGGACATCAAGAAAGGATGGAGGAGCAGCTATACGAAAAAACAGCCTTCTAGCTCTAAAAATGTCGAGTGCAGAGCAGTAACACTACCTAGGGGGTGGCACCCCCCCCCATGTGCGGGCGAGGGTTATACCTCGCCCGCACATGCCATTTTCCCATCCTAGAACGCACATGGGGGGGGGGGGTGGTTGCCACCCCCCGCGCCATTTCGTTCCTGTTGGAGATAGAGCTTAGCAGTAAAGACCAAAAAGATTCTTTGGGAAGAGACAAATCCAATGATACCCAGTTTTACCTTCTCAGGTCAGTCATTGACCTTCCAGGTCAGGTCAAACTAAAAAATGTTGCTGTTTTGGGTCACCGTTGGATATCATGTGTGCTGCTTATCAAATACCGATGACGATGCTGTTTTCTGGTGCCAAGCCAGCTAGAACCTCTTTGTCACACTACCCGACCAGAATTTTGCTGCTGAGGTCATTTCAGGTCAAGTTAGGTCAAGGTCAATTATATGTGTTTGTATGTCTGTGTGTGTCTGTGTGTATACTGATGTGTGCACCGATTGTTTTTGGGTCCATATTACATGAAATCATGATCTGAGAAGCTTTTACCAAAAATGCAGTCAAAAAACTTCAAAAAAAGTAAATTCAGCTTGCCTAAAACGCAATTATCTTAGGTGACCTAGGTTGACCTTGACCTTGACCTTGACCCCTGTACATCGTCGAACAACATGTTCCATGATAGGTAGGAGGTAAGACTGGCAAAAAAGGCCGAAATCAGGGTGTCAAAAGCTCATAAGGCCCATGGCAAACGAGAGATGTTGAGAATTGGCCATTTGGGTCATGACATGACCTGAAAAACAAGGTCATATCTCCGAAACCAAAAATCACAGAAACTTGAAATTTTCAGTGGACATCAAGAAAGGATAGAGGAGCAGCTATACGAAAAATCAGCCTTCTAGCTCTAAAAATGTTGAGTGCAGAGCAGAAAGACTACCTGGGGGGGTGGGGGTGGCAACCACCCCCCCATGTGCGGGCGAGGGTTAAAGGTTGCATTACCCACATAAGCACATTTGTCATGTAAAATGGACCATTAAACATGTATTACGCGACACCTTCATATTGTGATCCTCAGTGACCTGACCTCTGTTACCTGACCTGGTATCAGTGACCTCAAATAGCAAAATATGTGTTTCACGAGCAATTTGTGCGCGCCAACGGGGCGCGGGCTAACAAAAAGATCCGTTTTTTTATTTCAGGGGATTATTTCAAAAAACACTTTTTTATTTTGGGGTTCAAAATAAAAACAAATATATAAAAAAGAGGATAGTGTTTTTGTAGCGCTGCTTGTTTTATATATTTTAGTTTTTTTAACATTTTTATCGATCTTCAAAACTTTGGGCTGGACAGCTCTTCCCACCAAACCTCTTTTGGGTCGGAAATGCCTGAACATGACGTGACTCTGACGTCATTTACGGCCAACCTATCATAGGCTGTGGAAAAAGGTCACAAGGTGTAAAATCGATTTACAAGAGGGTACTGAAATGTTCGCGACGATCGGCGCATTAGTTTGAGAGATAATGCGAAACGACTAGAAGAGGGAGGTGGCAAAAATACCCGCCACCAGGGCGCGGGCTAAAAAGTTTCCACTGGGTATCCTAAGGTAAAGGTAATCACAAGATTGTGGATACGATGCTGGATGTTCTCTACGATATTATACTAAGAACAGTGTAAACACGGGCGACAAAATATGAAAATGAAACAGGAAATCACATCTTCCTGATTTTCACATCAGGTTTGACTGCTTGAAGAATATTTGAAGTGCCTCATATTTACTCCTACAGGGTGGGCAAAATCCCGTCACTGCAGAGGCAACTGGCAGCAACTACGGGACATTTGCCCCCTTGCAGTAGCGAGGAACACCATCAATTAAAGGGGCATTTCTGACTTTTAGCTCCATTCTTTCCATGCAAAGCCAATAGGGCTTATGTTAAAATGCCGAAATCAAGGGAACACGGTTCCCCGGTGCCCCCCGTTCCGCCCCTTATGCCCTCCCCCCCAGTTAACCCGCGCGGGGCTGGGGGGGTAAATTTTACCCCTCCTCGAGAATTTTTGCAATATCTCAAAAACAGCGGCGCGCAGCGCCGCCAAACTTTCAGTACCTTTTCTTACATCAATTTGACACGTTCCCTGAAAATTTGAGCAAAATTCGTCAGAAACTTTTTGAGAAATTGACGTTTTAGTGACGTCATGTTCGCCATTTTCACCTCAAAAACGGCAAAATTTCAAACGCCGCTAACATCTTCATTTTTAAAGGAATCAAGACGTAACAAAACGTTATACGTAATTCTACTTTGTCTATCAAATGGCTATCTCAGTTTTTTGAGAATTTTGGATTTTGAAGCAATTTAAAAAAAAACTGACTTTTTTGGGAAAATAGCTATAAAATCCAAAATTCTGAGTGTATCGTAAAAACCGGAATATATGTCAAAGAAGTGGTCTATGTGCACATGCTTACCAATTTTTAGAAGAATCGGTTCAAAAATGTGGGAGTTATTCAAAATTTTATGACGTAACGACACACAAAAATTTTGAAAAAATGATTTTTTTTGAAGTTCTAGACCTCGTACGGAAGCAAAAATAGCACCATTCGATTCGCCGTGAAAAACTGCATCTGATAGACATCTTTTTAGGCCTTAACAACCAACTTCAAAATTTGACCTCACTTGACCTGACCTTGACCTGACCTCGACCTGAAATTCATCCAGAGGTGGTCCATATCACTTATTGAGTGTGCCTATTAAATTCTATGAGTAAAATGACCCATAAAACATGTGTCGCACATGCCCTTTTCTATATTTTGTTTTTGGTGACCTGACCTGACCTGACCTTGACCTTGACCTCTGAATGATATTGTATGCAACGAATATTGTCTTGGTAGCCTAAGAACACGTTTTGGGCAATCAGTCTCAGTCCATGACTCCATTCTTCGGCAACTACGGTGCAAGGCCGATACTGTAGGAACTTGCAATTTGTACCCTTGACCTGACCTTGACCTTCACCTCAAACTTTAAGTTAAGTACACGTTTTTAGTTGTTCGTGATGAGATCTTTCGATTGGCGTTCGAATTTTCCAAATCGGACCATTAGTTCGGGAGATAACAGGGGGGGGGGGGGAAATTTACCCCCCACCAGCCCCGCGCGTTCGGCTGGAGACCCCAGCCCCGCGCGGGTTAATGCATGTTAGCAGAGGCCAGACACGCCAACATACAGTATACAGGCAAATGAAGCACAGACATCCAAACACATCAAGACGGGTACCTAGCACACAGAGAAGACACACAAAGACTCACAGAATCACATACACACCGTTACATAAACACCTATGGTCTGACTATAGACACAGACGTACAAAACACACTCAGACAACAGACACAGGGACACACAGACCCCCCCCCCCCTCACACACAGGTCGGTCCAGCTCACCTGATATTCGCCGCCTCCGCCGTGGTCGGCTCCGGTGGACAGAGCTCAGTACCGTCCACACACTGTTGGACCACCCACTCTGTCCACTGACCGGCCGGTGGACGCAGTGCAGCTCGTGCTCCTCCGACGGCCTTTGTCCCGGTCTGGAGGCTCTCTCTATCGCCTGGATAAAAATAGGCCCCGCCCATCCCAATCAGCTGCTGCATGACGAGTTGATGACGACAACCACTGCTTACCAGCAACCAATCTAGGGATAGCGTACGTGACAGTAATGGTGCAGCGGTTGCAAAATATTACATTGTTATTCAAACGGTTTTTTGCTTTTAGGGCCTTGTTGTTTTTAACCCATCTGTGTTAGATTGTATTGAGATATGTGATAAGTTGAGGTGTTGATGAAGGCAGGTATTTTTTAAAATATTTTTTTTTCTGACAATTTTTGCCCTTGTGGCTTGTTCTACTTAATAGCTGAACCCGGGACCACCTGAAGTCTAAACCTTATTTTATATAACATGTCAATGCTGAATGCTGATGCTGTGTGAAATGTGAAATTTAGACAATGGTAATAGGAATAATGAATAGCAATTTCACCAACAACTTGTTAATCTCCAGGAAGTGCAATTAAAATTAAAATCACTGTCTGCCACACTGCTCCGATCCTGGTCATGCAACCAACGTTCATGGGTGGTGTTTCGCGCTGCGTGTGTCAGAGCATTGGGTTTCCATGGCAGTGTCAACAAACTTCACTGTGACGCTAAGCTATGACAGCATCTCAGAACGCTAGCACGCTGCGGTACCAGCACCAGCAGCATGCTAGCAGTATTTGAACTCAAACCTCTGTTCTTGGTACGGTTTTTCAGAACCTCTCACTCTGTTCCAAACGTGATTCATCATAAACTAAGAGATCACATGCAACGTCATTTGAGTAATGCTATGGTATGCCGTAGCTACCAGTGCACACAGTGTCTGGATGGTGAAACAGGGCCATTATTAATCACATTTGCTTTGCTTTGTTTCAGCAGAAACCTGTCTGCACATGGGAGGAGCGCAACAAAAGCCCATCAAGTTCATGCATGGCAGTGGATCTCAACCGGAGAAAACCAGAAAGAACATGGATGCTTGTAGATTGCAGTTGTACACTGCTGTTGTCACCTGATGTGCGTGGCTGGCATTGCTCCTGGCAAGAACCACCTGCAAGTGATGAGATGGTGCCTCAGTCGTTGAGTGTGCTGCAGTGTGAGAGGCGCCCTGATCTCTACTTTGTGATGGGTTTCCATTGGAGGTTCAACTGAGAAGTGAGAACTGACTGTGACCATGCTCGAGCATGCCAGTGGAGCTTTACATGCTTAGGGCAGCTTTTGAACAGATGCTGACCATGGCATGTCCCATCCAGTTATCACGTGCACAGAATGGTGGGGGGATGCAACTCTGGGCTCTTGAGTCAGCCCTACTGCATTGGGGGTACAGATGGCCGCTTACGTTTGGTGTGTCCTGGGGGCTGTTCACGGGCCCTGTGTGCGGTCGAACCGCACACAGCCTCCAAGCTCCGCCCACTGCGTCCCTACGTCAGCCTTCCGTCACCGCACACAGCGATCGCTGTGGCCGGTCGGGACTGGCCACAGCGGACCGTCCACCGCACGCAGCCGTGACGTCAGCACCGCCTACCCATCCCCTACCCCCACGCCTGCTGGACGCACCGCACACACCGCACGCAGCAGTGTGCGGTGCCCGTGAACACCCCTCAGCACTGCATTATCAAGCCCAGTCTGCTGCCACAGGCAATGGGTCGGGCTGCACTATATTAAAGGCAGACTATCTTGCAAAGGAGGCTGGCATCCTCTCCCATAATGACACACCAATTGACAATCATCGCTGCGATGATCACGAGGGTGTCCGCTTATCTAACATGGTGAGGTGGAGACTGGAGAGCCAGCTCAAGCTGGCCTGAGGGATGGTTTTACTTCATCTGAGGTCCCCTTTCCCTGCCTGCCAGGTCCGGTCAAACGACCGCTTCACAGTGAACGACTTGCAGTGGATGCCGTCCCACAGCGCAACGAGCGCGCCGACCAGAGGCGGCGGCCAAGAGGCGGCCGGGCTCCCCCAGTCGACGGTCCCGGTGGACGTCGGCAACGCCCACCGCGCGACCATCAGATCGGCTCGCGACCGCGCCGTCGCCGACTGACCGCATGACTGGTATCTGTTCTTGATGTGGGACCGACTGCCACCGCCGGTCGCGGAAGGGCATCGCTCATCGGCCATCGACGTCCACCAGCTTCGCGTGGGTCACTGTTCGGGCTGCCACCAATACACCGAATCGGATGGAACCCTGTCGGTGAATGCCGGCGGTGCCCCGACATCGACTGCGCGGCGGCCAGTGCATCGCGTGCCGGGAGGAGGCTGGCACCCCCGATCGGTCATTGGTCACAAACCGTGTCCCAGCTCATGACTGCATCCAGCGCAGCTCTGTGAGATGTTCTGCTGCAGTCTGCCGCGTGTGTTGAAAGAAGAATGAACATGAGAAAACCTCAAAACTTTATGCCTATTAGTATTTGACCAGTATTGGAATAAGTTTGGATTTTGAGAATTTGTGTCCCTGTGCTTGTGCCTGTGTGGAAAGGCATGCTTTACGGTGTACCATCTCAATTTGTGCGGCTGCTGACAGGCCACCTGGGTGCCGTGCCAACTGCCAACGTATGTGCGAATCCGCGAATACGTTGTGTTTCGTCAGTCGGTATCGTTCTGAAAATATTGACTGCAATAGGCTATATAGCGTATGACGGTTCAGCCCAGCAGTAATAACTGACCATTGATTAGGCGAATTTTGTGTGGTGGTTCGCTAATACATAACCTAAAGAGTGTTTTGCCGGAATCGTTTAGTATCAGAACTGACCGGAATATAAGTAGAATGCAACGTTGTGAATCGTTAATTTGTTGAAACGATTGTTCTCTGAGACCACTGTGTAACTTTTGACCTGAGAATCACCAATTATAACGACAATGGTGGAAGCAGTAGGCACTGTAGAGTGTACTGTGTAGGCACTAGGCAGCACTATATAGTTGGCACACTTACGCAAGCACACGACTTACGCAGTGGACATCTGCATTATGCATGTTAGGTTTACTGGGAAGAGTGAGAAATTAGTCAGAATATAACTGACTAAGGAAAATAGGCGATATTTCCAATTGAGCTAGGGCGGAGAGGGGGAGGGGACGTATGGTCAGCTATGCCAATAATTCATTCTCGTTATGCAGCTGTGTAAAAGGGCGTCCGTTTTTTGGGTGAGACCTTCCCCATTGGCCATTTCCATGCTAAATCGTGGTGGAGAGTCTGGAGACCTCATCCTCGGTAGTCGGTACCCTGCGCGCTGCGCCACCTTGCGAAACATAAAGCAGCAGTCCTGACATCTACAGGCGTTACTTTTCATGAAAGCGCGGATGTGTTCGCGCTTATGTGAAGAAAATTCTTCCGAGTATGTTTGATAATGAGATTAATTGTTGTCATTTATTTATTAATTCATTGGCAAAAGTACCCTAATAAATCGGTAAAGTAGCTTAAACTGTAACGTATTTCCTTGGGGAAAAAATGACGAACTCATCCTAAGACATCCAGATTATTGGATGCGTTCGTCAGTTGAAAGTAGTTCAAGTTTTTGGAAAAATTTGCTTGTGGAAAATCATAATATTTCAAAGATATGCCTATTTTGGAATAATTTATGCATTTATCTGCATTGAAAAATGATTGTAAAGCAAAATTGCAAAAGATTATTGTCAATTTATTTTCTCAAATCACAATTTACGAACGCACAAAACTCCAGCTTTTAATTTAGTGCGTGTGCGAATTGCGGTCAAGAAAAAAGATTCAAACTGTCTATATTCCTCTTAAAACATTGAAGGATGAATGAGGAAAACGCTGTTTTGAACGATTGTATATTTATTTATTCTCAATTAAGCAAAAGTACAAAATTTTCAACTATTATTGCATTTGCTCTCACAAAACCCATCACTTTTAAGCATGACGTCATGTCACCCAAACTTACTAGCGCCATCTCTGGAGAGCATCTTTCGAAACCTCCAGACGATAGAGAGAGCCGGTCTGGACCGCTGCAACTGCGCAGTACGTTATTACCCCGGGGCGGGGCGCCGCTGAGTCATGGTACCGGTTACTGCCGACCTCGGGCCGCTGGGCGACTGCAGCGCCCCTACCGGTCACCGGCGTCGTACTGTAACTAATGGGGATCCGGAGCATTCATGGAACACTGTTGATGTAAGTGCACAGTTGCCTCGTAAAGGCTAGTCAGCAACAACAACAAAATAAAATGGGAACTCTCTATATTCGTCAAGGACTTGGATGTCCGGGTTCCAATGGGCCTTGTCCCGTAGCGAGGAGACTCTAGCGTGTCCAGTGTGCCGGCGGCGCGGCGTTCAAGACTGATGACGTCAGCGGAAGCACCATGGTCTCGTGATAACACGGACCGGATGGCGGTGCAGCAGCCCCCCCCTCTCCCCCCTCCCCGGCCGTCTGGAACCCTCCATCCCTCCGGACACCCCGTGCAGCTCGGCAGTATAAACCATAGTGAGCAGCAGACATGTGCAGGGATGGAAGAGGCGAATCTATGATCTCAGTGGATATCTCGACAAGTTGGAGGGGTTGGACGTACATCTCATCCCTCGCCCAGCCAGGGGTTGGGGAGGGGGAGATTGATTAAGCCTCGCCCGCACATGGGGGGGGGGGTACCCACCCTCCACCTCCCCCCCCCAGGTAGTCTTTCTGCTCTGCACTCCACATTGTTAGAGCTAGAAGCCTGATTTTTCGTATAGCGGCTCCTCTATCCTCTCTTCATGTCCACTGAAAATTTGAGGTTTCTGTGATTTTTGGTTTCGGAGATATGACCTTGTTTTTCAGGTCATGTCATGACCCAAATGACCAATTCTCAACAACTTGCGTTGGCTATAGGCCATGTGAGCTTTTGTCACCTTCCTTTCGGGCTTTTTTTGCCAGTCTTACCTCCCACCTATCATGGAACATGTTGTTCGACGATGTACAGATGTCAAGGTCAGGATCAAGGTCAACCTAGTTCATCTAAAAAAAATTGCGTTTGAGGCAAGCTGAATTTACTTTTCGTGAT